ACTGTATTTATGAACATTTTAAGTAAATTACTTTATGAAGTTAGTGACATCGTAAAAATGTTTATAAAAATGATATAGTCAAAAAGAGTTTTAGAAGAAACGTTCTATTTTTTAGTAAATTCTAATTATGATGTTTCAAGGAATGCACTAAGGCCATAATCAGTGTTCAAATGTGTCATGAAATTACACTTAACGAATTCTTATGAAATTACTCTTCCAAAGTAACTCTAAGCATTGGCTGTTAAAATGTCTTTAAGAGATCTTGAAATAAGTTATTAAAATTTGAATTATGAACTTCAGATGAAGAACAGAAGCAGAAATAAATATCAAAATTTTTAAAACAATAAATTAGACATTCTAATTGTGGTGTGGTGATGGTGATTGGCCCAATAAAAATCTAATGTAGAATAGCAGGAGCATGATAAAACCATACAAGTATAATGCATAAAAATGATTGTGAAAAACTTTCTAAAAAATATTATCATGATTCAGTGGAATTTTATGAGGATAAGAAGCAAACAGTGATATATTTTTTAAAGGGAGAGAGAGAGAGAGAGAGAGAGAGAGAGAGAGAGAGAGAGAGAGAGAGAGAGAGAGAGAGAGAGCATAGGGCATGGATACCGGAAATGCCAGAGGAAGGCCTTTATCGAATAATCATCCCCCGTTGATCTGTCATACCCAATGTGTGCCCTATGTATCAGGTCGGAAGGACATTCACCAGTCTGGGCATATTTAGTTTAAGGGGCCCGAATAGGGTTTTACTGAGTGAAAACTACAATAAGATACATAAACTATTTTATGCCATAGATAACGTACATTTACTTCAAGGTACATTCCACGTTTGGGGAAAAACTACAGTGCAGGTACTTTTAGGGACCCTCTCAAAATATAGGCAATTTTACTGAGATCATATAGGAATGTGTCACTTTTTTTTGCATTTTTAAGCAAATTATACAAATTTTACAATAAACTTCTTGCTCAAACTATACTTTTGAACGAGTACATGTAATACTATATTGTACATTATATGTAAGATTGATGTGGAAATAACGAACAGTATTCAATATCAAAATCCATAAAAAAAAAATACAAAATAGGAGCAGAGCAAAAACGGACCACCGAAACATCAGAGGTGGGATCAGGTGCCATGGAGAAGTGAGCATCCTCTTGTGACCGGTCACATTCGCCATGTGCTCCATGTCGTGATCGGGAAATAACGGAGAAAGCCGTCATCAATTCAGCGCATAAATAATGGACTAACAATTAGTATGAAAACCGTCAATCAGCATTTGACTCAATCATAAATTTTATTTGCTGACAAGGTCGTTGTATGGACCATCGAACTTAAGAAATTATTACTTTAACGAGCCTGCTTATATTCTTGTTTCGTCAACTTGCTTGTCAATAATTTACCTCGTTTTAGAAATTGTACCTACGTAGAGCATGCTCTCGCGTATCGAATCAACTGAGATATATACACTCCGTATGCAGGTGATGAAGGTATGTTGCTGCATAAGTAAGGGAAGTTAACGATAGAAAAGTTAAAGTCATTACGTTTATCATATTGCTTGGATGTTACAGTAACATTAAAGTCTTTTTCAAGTAATATATATCCAAGTATGAAACAGATGTGTCAGACTCTGTAGTATCTTTTATCTCAAGCTCACCAAGTAAGATATATCGTATCGACGTAGGAATGGAAATTAGAATTGTTAATTGACAATACGTACGTCGTCGATGTATCTAAATGTCGGGACTAAATTTAAAGTTTCTAAGCTATTGATTTTGGTAAAATCTTGAGATTTCAAATTGTCCAAAAGTTCTTTGGAATTCTTGAGTATCCACATTTGATTCACACTACTCCTTGAAAATATAGTTGCACAGTATTCTTGAAGTTTTTCCTTCACTTCTGTCAATATCTTAGTTAGGAGTAAAGAAAGAGGTTTCGTTGAACATTTACTGGAACCTGCAATGTAACTTTGTTTGTAAGGAATTTTATGAAGTTTCGGAATCCATTATATAAAGGGAAGTTCAAATTCATTTTGGCTCTGTGGAATATAAATAAATATTTAAAAGTGACATATGATTTTGAAGAATATCTTCCTTTTGAAGAATATCTTCCTTAGAAAGGGAAGTATGTGAATAAGTAGGATTACCACTTGTAGAGTCGTTGTTCTAAAATTCAATTTTTTAACGAGCCTTACAAACGAAGACAATGTTGTTACCTGTTTTGTCGGCAGATGTCCGCACTGTGATAAGTTAAGAGTAAGTTTCGAAAAAAAAGAAAAAAGAAAAAAACGGGATGGGGATATTTTGATTAATTTAAGGACATTGGCAACGTTTCTGGATTTTGTATAGAATTTTTCAGGAACTTTTGAATACGTTTAATGGTACCAAACATGTTCAATTCTTGCCCTTTTTACCCATCAATCCAGCCTTTCTTTAAAGATTTTGTCAAATCAATGTTTTTACAATTCTCAATGCATTTCCTATGTAAAATGTTGATAAAATGGTCCTATATTATTTTTAACCATAAGATTTTTCTAAAACCCATTTATTTCATAAAGTTAACACATGAAATACATTGTTGAATCTTCATTTCTGGTGACAAACATATACTTTGGCTCAAATTGCAAATATAGAAACAAAATATAGAAATGCCAGCACTGTTCTTTGATTTTAAGTTACTTCCCTTAACATCTAATTATTATTCATAATGACCAAGAGACTGGTTGTTTGTTTCTATACTATAATTTACTTTATTTGAAAGGAACTGTCATTAAACATTTTTGCAAGGATTTAGTATTAACTTTTAATGATGCCTCCTTCACAAAACCCATAGAATCGTTCTCAACTGGTCTACCTAGCTATCACCACTCTCAGCATAATTATGTCACTTCTTTCACTTCCCAGCATACATGTACTTATTCTAAATGACGACCTGTTGACTGTCTGCCCCTCAGCACAATGTAAACAAACCCACCTCTGCTATCCTTTTATTATTGTAGAGTTGAACATATCAGATAAAAACGCACACGTGCTTTTGTTTACCTCTCAGTCTGTAACACACGCTTTATTGGTTTTCACCGCCTAGAGAATTCCATACGGGAGATCACTCTCAATGACTATTTTTATAATTGAAAAAACCTGGGTATAAACCTTTTTTCTCCGGAAACCCTGCGTTGTCAATGACGTTAAACTGTTATTTAAATCTGTGTGCGTTGGTTGTCTTCTTATAATAACTATGTAACTTCATCCAAAACTTGTCCATGTATTTCACTTGAGGCTAAAATCGAAATAAAATGAATGTTGCAATGTCATCAGCTGCATTGAAAATAGCTTTAAATTCTATTTAAATGTTCATTCCAGATTAAAGGAAATACGGTATATTTGCGTCATTTGTTAAAAATATTTGCATTAGATAAATGAATCATAATAATTAACTTTTGAATTATTAAAGAAATTTTGTGCATGGAAATTGTTTTTTTTTTTCTATTTTTAAGTATTCATTTTTCTATCTTCGACCGCGTAATGGAAAAGTGGCGGAGTGAAGAGTTGAACCCTGTGTAAAAGTTCTGAATTTGATTCCAACAACGGATCCGGAGACCCGTTCTTCAATTAGGACCTTATAAACCGAGATCCTGTGTCAATGAAGGGCCTGGCACGAAAAAAAAAATCCCTAACTACTTAAAGTCTGTACAGTTTTGATTTAAATTTTCTAACTTACAACTATACAACCATCCAACTAGAAAGAGTGGCTTCTCAGTATCAATAAAACGTTTTCGAATGGATGTTAAGCGAACGAACGTTTTACCCACGCTTTTCTGTATTTATGTTAATCTGTTTGTATTTGTGTGAGAAATCCGAGAAAAGTCTTTGTAACATTTTCATTTGTACTGCCAATCAAAAAATATTTATTCTTTATAAATAAACAAAAAAAATATTTGAATAATTAGTTTACTTTTTTTAAAGACAATGGTTCTAAAATTGAGGAAATTAATTGAAAAATGTTCGTGACAGGAAAGAATAAGTGTAAATTAATTTTGTGAAGAGACAAGCTCTGATAGATCACAAATTAACGATTCTGTGATTTGTTTAAAAGAAAATCACGGAAATAAAAACAATTATGTGATTATCAAGGTAAACCACTATACTGAAATGCATACATTGATGTTATTTTAAAATTTTGAATTCATAATGTCATATGTAGTTACAAACTTAGGTATTTGCACGCAAATACCTCGTGTGTTAACATTTGCCAATTAAATATTTTTAATATTTTAATTTGGTTTTTATTATCAATTATCTGGATTATTATTTCGTGTTTGAATCATTCGTGTGCAGCAATACGAGGATATATCATGGGGATGGTTAAGGTCATGCAATTTAGAAAAATAATGACACTTTTCTTTGAATTTTCCTTTAAACAATGAAACCCAGTGCTTTAAATATATCTGTGTATTGCATAAATGCTTCAAACATTAAAAGGCATCGTTAATCGCAATGCTATGCTCGGGAAAAAAATACAGCATTACATTTTGTAACAAAATGAAAATTTTCGATTAAATTTTTAAGATTTAAAATCTAAATAAATTTATAAATGACACCGATAAATATATATATATTAATATATGGATTGACCTTTTAGGAAAGGCTTATATATGACAAACAGATTTTTTTCTTCGAAAAAATTCATCATTTTAAAATATATGTATTTGAACATACATTTACGTCAGAAACTACAATTAATACCTTCTTGGAAGATGTCCCTTAAATTTAACATTTACAAATGATTTCAAACTTATGTAAATAAGATGTGTCACTCTTTTCTAAACCACTTTCAAATCGATGTATAAGATTAATATTAATAGGACTAATGAATTCAACACTATGAATATGCTGATTGAATTTAAAACACGTATTCACCTCTCATATTTGACGGCAATTAATAAATGATGGATTTTACGAAAGGATTTCATTTCTACAATGAACAAGGAATGTGTTACATTCGTTACAAATGTTTAACAAAGATCAGGTATCATTATATACAGTTCAAGCTGACCTTTAGGAGAATAAACAGGTCTGTAGCATGGATTTATGGTTCTGAAAATGAATTCAACGTGTCGGATGTTGGTGTATTGTGCTTGTGTTCTGATTCATGCATTGTGTATTAATGCACAACAATCTATGACGTCACAGCCCAATGCTGCATTGCTGATGATTCGGCAACATCTTCAACGCGAATCAACAATGAAAATTACTCTTTTGAAGACCTTGAAAGTGGTACTTGGTGATATAAAATTGTTAAAAGCAGAAAGAGAAAAACACACCGCATTGATAAATGCACTCAGGCAGGACGTTAGTGCTTTAAGATCCAGTATAAAGGGCCTTAGGGACGTTAACAATGAACAAAACCTCCGAATTCATGCCTTGAATGAGAAATTATCATTACAGAATGTTACAACGATTGATTTATCAAAGTCAGCTGAGGACCTACAAGGAAAGATTGTCTCTTTATCACGGGATATTATAAACCAGAGACAAGATATTCAAAGTTTACAATCCTCCTCTTCTACTGATAGACGAGAAATAAACTCCATTTTGAATACAGCGTCTCAGCTGGACAAGAATGTGAAGTTTTTGGTGGAAGAAAATATTGAACAAGATAGAAAAGCTAATACTTTTCAAGAAGTCAATAATCAACAAAACCGCCAAATTCAGGATCTAAATGAAAAATATGTATCACAAGAAAGAAAGTTAAATGCAATTATAGCTGACAAAAATAAAATAAATCGAAATGTAAAAATTTTACTGGATGGAAATACGAAAAGAGAAGCAGAGATCAGGACACTTGTAGAGGAAAATTTTGAGATAAAAAAAGAAATTAATGTTATATCTCAAAATAATTTAAATCAGAAAAAAGAAGCAAGGGGACTGGAATCCGAAAACAGTGCAATAACCCGGGAAATTAATACATTAGTTGGAAAGAACGAACAACAGGATAAAGAAATTGAAAATTTAAAAGAGGAGAACAGAGTTCAAAGCGGTGATATTAGAACCTTGACAGGAGAATATGTAGAACAAGGCAAATTGATACAAATATTAAAGGACAAGAGTGAAATGATCAATCAAGGAGAAGTGAAAAATGATCAGTCAGTTGGAACCTCATACCAGGCCGGGAATGATGATCATGATGATTGGAATCATCGACAACAGGGCGATACAACCGATGTGTCACCTGTTGCCTTAAAACTACAAAAGGATATAGACTTCTTACATCATAATGTCAGCAGTGTCAACGAGAAAATTCTGTCCCTTGAAAACAGTCAGCGGTTTATTCACTCTAATCTCCACGAAATACGAATCGCTGATAAACGTCAGACTAAGGGGGACGTGTGAAACTTTAGGGGACGTTTAATTAGCTTTATGTTATTGTTTTATTATTGTTGATTAATTTGCATTATATGTTAAGTTATTAAAGTCCTCTTTGTTGTTTTAAAACAAAGAAATCCCATTAATCAATTAACACTCAAGTTTTATGATATTGAGACATTTATTGTTTTCGTTCTTTTACTAGTTCAAGGAAATCATTTTTCATATTTTTCCTTTATATAAATAAATATTATAATTGTGTTATGAATTCGTTGTACATTAATATAGGGGGCTGTTGCTAATAATATTCATTACAAATAAAAAAAAACCCTTATCAATCAACGTACCATTCCAATGCATAAAAATAGTATTAAAACGTAGATGTTGGACTATGAATTTTTCTTCTTGAAAAATGAAGATTTTGGGGGCCTTATCAATTGTACGTGTATTTTCTAGCCTTCTACTGTTGTGGGTTTTTTTTTTAATATAACCTCTGTAAATCTCTAAGTACCTCTGTACATTGAATATAGTCATATTTATTCTCAAATACATGTATCTTCAAACACGAATTTCAATGATTAGAGAGAGCTACATAGGCTTTGTTAACATTACGTAGTTGTAAGTATTATATAGTTTAATTTACCATGAGGTGCGACGAAGATGTGAAAGATGGTGACATTTAAAGAAATGTTAACATATTCAGAATATGAATCACTCTCATTTTCTTGTGAAGGATCATGACTTGTTAGACCAAAGATTACAATCATTAGCTATAAATACTCGCATTTATTTCTATAATAAAGTTGTATTTCTATACCTTGGTGTTTGCTTTTATCTCTGATAATTTTATACATTTGTAAAATTTATTTATTCATTGATTGAAATGAATATCATTAGAATGATTTTGTGCAAAATGAAGTCTCTTCTACCTTACTGTAAAATATCTTTTTAAACTATTTGTAACCATGAGTTATTAAACTTCCCCAATACTTAAAGCATCGTAGCACTCTTGTTAAATACATTTAAGTTCTCAGGTGTTACTATATTAGTATAACTATTACAGATTTGATCATCTGAAGGGGATTTAAAAAAAACAAATAAAGTCAATGTAAGGGAACTTCACATGTATATTCAATGCATCGTTTTTTCTACTATATCTGCATTCAACTGTCATTAACATTACGACCGTTCACGGTAGCCTAGTGGTAGAGCGTTCGCTTCGTGATCGGGAGGCCCTGGTTCGATTCTCGCTCCCAGCGCCGCGTCAAATCTAAGACGTAAAAATAGGTAGTGACTGTTTCTTTGCCAAGCGCTCGGCACCAGATGTGAAAGTCCGATGACCTTAAAAACGTAGGTCCCGTGTCACGATAGGCGCTGGCACAATAAAGAACCCTCACTGCTTAATGGCCCTGAGTGCCGAGTATAGGTTTAAATTTGAAGCCCTTCACCGGCATACGGTGACGTCTCCATATGAGTGAAAAATTCTGGAGAGGGACGTTAAACAATATACAATAAATCAATCTATCATTAACATTACGTACATGATAATTAATTTATTAAAATTCATGTTGAATTAACTTCCAGTTAAGAGTATCAACTTATTTGACTGATAATGATCAACAAAGTGGAGGAATTCAAACAAGGGCACCGCAAAGAAGAGCATTCCCCCCGCAAAGAACATCTCAAGGTAGAGTTCGACATTTATCACGATGTATTTGCTTCCATTTCGCCTGATGACAACATAAATCACTCACATATAAACACACACATAACTGTGTCCACTTGAATTTTGTTGCAAGCGGATATTAATAAATGCTTCTATATAAATAATCGGAAATACTTGAAATTCCGCATTCATACCTATTTTATTTATTACAAGATTGCTTCAGAATCACTGAATTAATTATAAATATATGACAAAATTTCTATAAATCCTCCCGTAACCATTCGGTTACCGATTCCGGTAATCATTCAGGATTGTGACCTAAGTTTGATCAGTTTTTTAAAAGATTAACATTTGACATAATTTTTTTCTGATGGTACCAGAGCCTTTATATTTCACATACATTGCATGTTAAAAGCTCTTTCATTGCATACAAATAAAATATGGCCTTTTGACCTTCGAGTTTGACCTAACTTTGAAAAACTTTTATCTTTGCAATAACTTTTGAAAAATTGTTATATGTACTAGTGCTTAATTTGTTTACCTTGTCATTTCTCAATTTGCAAAATTATTCTGTTAAAAACATTCTAATTGTACGCACAAGTACTCTGAAGTTTAAAAAGACATTGATCCGATTGGCAATATCTATTTTTATTAATTTTTGGAGACAAGGTTTTCCAAAAATCATTTGGAGTTCTCATGGGTACCAACTGAAACCGCTATTAGCCGACCAAGTTTTTATTCATATAAAGCAGAAATTGTCCAAATCTTATAAGTGAAAAGAAGAAAACACTTGCTGTGGCCTAAAACTCGGCATTTAGATATATCGAAGATATTGTCAATTAACAATGGTTACTAGTACTGTACTACTATTTCCATTCTTACGTCGATACGCTATATATATTGAGATAAAAGATGCCACGGAGTTTGACACATCTATTTCAAAGTTTGATATTTCACTAGAAAAAGACGTTAATTGTATTCTAACAACCAAGCTCTATTATAAAAGTGATGACTTTCAATTGTCAACTTCCCGTACTCAATCAGCAATATACCTTCATCCTCTGTATTTTAGAGTTTATATATCTCAGTTGATATACGCAATGATCTTCACAAACACAGCCTGATTTATAAACATCAATTAATGGAAAATCAAAATAATTCTTTAATATTTAGTTATATTCAAATATCTTGTTTTAAATTATTTTCGCAAAAAACATATTTCCGTGGAGATTTAACCTAATGAATCAAAATTCTTCCTTAAACCACGAAAAATTGATTCTTCGAAAATATGTGATTTTACAGTATTGGTCACAGACGTTTTGAGGAAAAGATGGTTAATTAATTCAACAACTAATGATAAATGGTATCATGTATTTTATTTACAAACCTTAAGCTTTATTGACCTAAATCAGCGGCATTTCAATTCAATTTTTGAATTACCATGAAAACACATATTTCCGTAGAGACTTAATTTTTACCCACTTTATTTTTTTTTAAAATTCAATAAAAATCCCAAAATATTGTCGTATATGTCAATATTATCTAAAGGAAAACCACGAAAAATTGACCCTTCGAAAATATGTGATTTAACAGTATTGGTCACAGACGTTTTGAGGAAAAGGTGGTTCAACAACTACAAAGAAGAAGATACAGTTTTAGCTAGAAGTTTAATGTTTTCAACAAGTTTTGAAACTGGCTTGAATATTAATTGAGTAAATGACAGAAAGATATGAAAAAATTTTGGCAGAAGTGATCCATCCTTATTTTAAACCACATCAAGAATGAAAATTTAAAATGTATCTCATCTAAAATACTGAAATATTTTCGTTGAAATTCCTGTACTAAATGGCAGTGAAAAGCCTCAAAATGACTAATTTTAAGTATAATTTCCTTATATTTAATATGTGTGATTAAATCTATCACCCACGTTTATTTTTTCAAAAGGATGTGTAAAATTCAATAAATGAAATAAAATATCTCAAAATCATTGTGGGTGTACCTGTGTACAATATTATCTGAAGAAAAATTCCATCATAAATTTATGTCCTCTGCAACTTATTAAGAAAATATAGAAAAATGCGAAAAGATTTTATCGAGATTCAAAATTCGAGTTTAGCATTTATAAATGCAAAAGTGAGAACTCCCCTTTATTATGTTTTTACTATGAAATATATATAATTATATCAAATGGGTCATTTGATTAAATTACAATGCAAGAAAAAGTGTTATATATATTAGAAGGAAATTTAAATAATTAATGGATTTTTTCAGCAAAAAATATTTCAATTTATATATATATATATATATATATATATATATATATATATATATATATATATATATATAAACAATTTAAATAAAAAATATTTAACATTAATATAATAGTATATGAAAATCAAAGGGAAGAACGCACAATAAACATAAAATTGTGTTATAAGGTAAATACCTTGTTCTTTATCGTGTAGTGTATGACGATACACATGTTATTTTAGTTTCGACGTTGTGCATATATCAATACATTTTATGTACATATATAAACATTCAATACATGTTAAATGTTTTACAAAATGTATTAAATTCAATATCGGATTAACATCTCAGAGAAAAACAATATATTTCTTCATTTTTATTAAATTAAAGTAAACTGCATATTTTTTTCATTAAATTGGAATTTGAAAACAATTTTGCTACAAGATATTCAAAATGTGATCGCAGAGTACCAGGGGTTAATACTGAACATGCCTTATATTTTAAACCACATCAAGATATATGAAATTTTAAAATGTATCTCATCTTTAACTAAGTTGCTGAAATACTTTCGATTTTTGAAATATATATGTACTAAATGGCAGTGAAAAGTCACAGATGATGCATCTGCAGTCGGTTATTTGATGGGGCTTACGAAGTACATCAATTACTTTCTGTTATATTTATTATGTGTGATTAAATCTATCACTTTCGTCCATACGTTTCAGTTTGACATTTCAAAAGAGAAGATTTATCATTTTGACATTTCGTTTTCAAATCTGACGTCTCAATAAAATTATATGACAGGGAAATGTATTTTTGTGGGAAATGTAAAAATTCATTTTGACAATTAAAAAATATATATTGCTGATATATTTACATGTTAATTTATTTGAAATTTTTTTTTCAAAAATCCATTAATTATTTAAATTTCCTTCTAATATATATAACACTTTTTCTTGCATTGTAATTTAATCAAATGACCCATTTGATATAATTATATATATTTTAAAAACATAATAAAGGGAAGTAATCAAATGTTGAGCCCGCTTTTGATAAGTTTTGAAAAAGAAAACTCGAAGAATTTTGATAAATCTCGTATTTTGAAACTCGAACATTTTAGGAATCACAAATGATAAGTTTTAAGAAAGAAAAAAAAAACATTTTGAATATATATATCACACATTGTCAGTCATTTTTAATTAAGTAATGCAATTTAAATCATTTATTTCTAAATTGATTTACGAATTAATGAGATCAGTAAATAGTATAGAATGAAAAAAATAAAATTAATGACAATCAATATTTTTTTTCTCTTGGAATGTAACCCACTTCGGAAAATTTTGAAAAGTTTGTAGACTTTGTTTGTTTGTTTGTTTGTTTGTTTTTGGGGGGTGGGGGGGGGGGTGTTTTGCCTATCTTGTATCCTTCATTAAAATGCATATTATGTTAATAATCAGTCAACTAAGTTCTGAACACAAATTATACGATGTACTTTTTCGGAAGTTTTCTTTTCGTCCAAATTTCAAAACTTTGTCAGACGTATCGTCAAGCCTTATAAAATACGGATTTTTTCTGGAAGAAGGAATAAAGATATTTTTGTAACAACTGCAATCAAAATATATATCATTTAAGGGTTGAAGCTTTTTTAACCTATGTTATACGATTTTACATAATCTGGGGCAGTTTACGATTTAGAATCTGCGAAATTTTTTCGAAGTCATTCCTTATTTGTTTTGTTTTAATAGAGGTGAGCCTGATTACTTTTCGTTGTTTCTATATTCTATTTTGATTAAAGCATAGTTTTCCATGTCTGAAAAATGATTTTGATTACCGGATATATTTATCAATAATAAAACTGAGAGTTTTTTTTTTAGTTCACGAAAACATAACTTATTTTAGTAATCCGCGGCCGCGCATAATATTTTTTTTGATTAGATGAGAACTGGACATTTAGTTTTTCATCATTGATATATATAAAATATGAATTTACATGTAAAAAGTCATCAAAATCCTATTTATTCGTAGACAATTACTAGTATATATTTTACCAAGTATTTAACAACTTTAACAAATTACTAGTATATTAAAATTGAAGATTGCAAGATTTTAAAGTGATAATGAATGTTAATATTAATATTAAGATATATCATACAGGCGAATCACAATGTATGTTCTATTAACCTAAATATAAAATAATCCTAAAGAACGACCTTTTCAGCTAAGGCTTTTTTAAATCTTCAAGTCGTATTTGCCTTTTCCGTAATATGCCCAATATTGAATGCGGTTTTTATCTTTGCGTAATTGTTATCTGTGACCATTATTTAGTTCAATGCACCGTTAGAATGCTTTGTTTTAGTGCATACATGCATTGATTCAAAGTTCAGAAAGGAGAATACGGTGTGCACCAGGTCCGGTATTTTTGCCTCCTATTTTTGTTGGGATCTCATTTTCCAAATTATTCGGCTTGAAACGTCGCATGTTTTCACTTCAAGTTGTGTATGTGTGCATGCAATTCTAAATCTAAACTTGGCAAAAGCAACATCTCTAGTGAATATGGATTGACAAGGCATTTATGCTTGATTTCTTATTTTAAATAGGATACATGGCTTGAAGTGAGTTCTTAAAAAAGATCAACAAATTGATTTAACAAAAAATCCAAAACAAAGTGTGTTGTTAAAAGAAGACTGAATATTACACTTATTTTCATGACTACATCAAACTGCCTTAAGTGAACAGGCAAAGATTAATTTCAAATATAAATAGCTTATTGGAATTCCTTTTGAAAATTGAAGAAATAATTGTTTATAACCAAAACTGTAAAGAAAACACCGATGGACACCAATGGACAAAGACCGGACGAAACGGGCAATGGTCATGCTTATCCAGTTGTCCAAGCCCCTTCACGCCCATTACACCCAAGGTTTTCTAGAGATGTTTCAACACAAATGACAACGTATCGGGTGCCATCAGACTATCTATCCACAACTATTAAGAAAATACCACCTGGCACCAATGGACAAACGTCTGACGAATTGGACAACGGTAATACATGTCCAGTTGTTCAAGCCCCTTTGCGCCGAATACATCCAATGTTTTCTAGAAATGCCTCAACTCAAATGACAACGTATTGTGTGACGTCACATTTTCAGGAAAAGGTCAAAGAAGCTAAGACACAAACGTTTATATTTCAGTACATCAAAAGTAAGAAGTATAAAACTGCGGTCATTGTTGCAGATTTCCCACCAATCCAACCTGTGGATGATGACGATATTGAGGTAGCAGCTGGAGGTATCCCGAGGCTAAGTGAGGAGGTACAGAGGCATTCTGTACCACCACTGGAGGTCGAACAACGACAGCCAACCCCGCCCCCAGAGTTTGAACAAGTTGTTCCTTGTTCAGATTTTGATAGTGGACCAGAGATGAGAACCACTCCTCCACTTCCAGGAGCTAGACAGGTACAGTATATTAAGTGTTTTATGTTTGATTCAAGACATCAATTTATTTCTGATTTTGGTCGGTTAAGCATTTCATAAAGAAGCCCCAGATGTCTCGCACCAATTAATATATTTTTGGGAAGAATCAGCAATTTTTAAGAATTAAAAATCTTAATCAGTTTAGAGTTATGAAAAACATGCTTTGTGTTTTAAATATCTTATATTTGTTAGAAGAAATTATACTATTCTTTGAATTCGCCGACATCTTTGTTTGTTACTAAGCTTTTATTGCTCCCCGCTTTAATATCGTTCTTCTGTCTTCGTTTCCACGTGACCTTGACTTTAAAATTTGACCTTTTTTTACTGGAGTATTTTAAAAATGTGGACATTGCCTTGAATTGGCCATAACTTTTGAAAGAGAAAAGGTATGGCTTTCTTATTGCACAAATGTGTTTCCTGTGACAAGTCCTTTAGAATTATTCTATGATTTTTGCCCATATGACCTTGAAGTTTGACCTACTCTTTAAAAATGCAAGCATTACTTTAAATTGGCAATTTAATTTTAATTTTTCAAAGAGAAAAGGTAGGGCTTTCATATTGCACAAATGTATTTCCTTTGAAAAGACCTTTCTAAATATTGCATGATTTTTTACCCCTTAGCCTTGACATTAAAGTTTGACCTACTTTTAAACATTACTTTATTTTTTAACCTTACGGATAGAGACTTCATATTTGGTATGCATACTCCACTAATTAAGTTCTTTTAAATGCCAATAGGGTCATGCAGTGACCTTGTCTTTCACCTTTATGCTAAAAAAAGCTTTTTCGCAATAACTTTGAATTTTTGTCCGCAAGATCATTAACTTTTACAAACATTTTTTATAACAATTTATTTTTTACTCTTTTCCTTGACCTACATGCTTTACCATTAATTTTACAAAAATTGGTGATTTTTTTGGCATATGATATCATATTTTGACACAATATCCCATAAATAACGGTATCCCATCAGCTAAGTCACCGAAAGCCAAGCATCAGATTTCTTTGAGTCTGCTTGTTTCTAATTAAGAGTTATGTCCTTGAATGAATTACAAATATGTATTAAACTTTAAAAATTCTTTAAGAAAAAAAAAGAATGAATTTCTATGGTTTGTATAATTGTAACATTATGATTCATACTTCACAGCATCGAATTAGACCCGGAAATGACGCTTTGGTACGTGTGGGCGGTGGTTGGATGGAACAAAATTACCATCAACAGAAACATTGCACCAGCAACCGAAAGTGTAAACCTACGGCAGACAGATATCCCGTCATCCCCTCTCTGTTTCATCCAAGTTGTAAAATGAGAAAAGTGAATAAATCACATTATGCTTCTGTAACAGTTATGAATAACAACCGTTTTACTGAATTTTCATGTACGAGGCGGTTCCTGGACAAAATTAGAAAGTAAAAACACTAGAAATGTGTAGATCTTAATTGCATTTATACCTTCATAATAATTCGTGTATGATGTATATAATATCAAAGATTAATTTGTTTTGTGGAATACAGTTATATTTAAAAGATGGTAAATACACATTTTTTAAGCAAAACCTGTGTAATATAATTAAAACTTTAAAGGCTTGTGACGATGGAAATGTGTAGATTTTGCATTTATACCTTCATAATAATTCGTATATGATGTAAATAATGTTAAAGATTAATTTGTTACTCGACTTTTTCATCTGGATGTTCAAGAAAGTTATATTAAAAACGTCATTGTAAATAAAATTTTTATTGATATATTTTTCAGCAAATTTTCTTTTTCTTGTACGTTGTTGTAATATAAGTAAAACTTTATAGCAGCTAAATTCTAAGTAGCGGAACTGAGGCATGATTGTTTTATGTGTGACGTGTAACCGAGCGGATGTTGCAACAATAATCAAAAACACTATTCCTAAATTTAGTCTGAGCTACTTGCTCAAAAATTGATTTGTGGGAAAGCTCAGATAGCTTCTCGGTACCTAACAGAGAAAAATTATATACAACAAATGTACCTATGAAACAGGGTAAAAAATCAAAATCCAAAATCTAATTTTATCTCTTCCACAGTTTTAAGTGTGTCTCAATGCTGGATTTCTTATATTAAACTAAATTAACTTTAATTATCATAGGTTTAACTTAACTGTAAGATAGTCTGATAGGAGAGGAAAGACTTGTTCATTCTTGCCTAATCCTTTTTCTCACCTTAAAGACAGATGATACAAACTTTTATCATAAAAATTGAAAACCATGTTTCAAAGAGTAAAATAAACAAGTTTACAGAGATTTATACTTTATTTATTAGCATACTTGATTCTCATTGTCTGATGATAAAAGTTATCTTCTCTGTACTAGAGAGTTCCTAATTTCTAACGAGAGTTATCTCTGATCATGAAATACAAGTATATATTCAGCGTTTGGCCATATCAAATCATAACGGTACAGTTCTGTAGGTAGTAAAAACTAAACGTGACCCACATTCCACACATTGAATTTTTCTATGGATTTTCCGTTACTTCCCGGTCATGACGAAAGAAGCGTTGTGTGACCAGTCAGCAAGAGATGTTCACTCTTCCATAGCACCTGATCCCTCCCCTGATGTTTTAGTGGTCCAATTTTGTACTGTTTGATGGACTTCTGTTGAATACTGTTTGTTATCCCTATATACATATATTTCATTGCTTACAATGAAAAGAAAAAAAGGAAGAGAGATAATAATTTATTTAATTTTGTAGTAAACTTCTTTCTCCTCTAGTTAAAAATTATATAACTCCATACACTCAGTAATTACCAATATTACTTAACTCTTTTTAAAGAACAACCGTGAATGATAAGATATTTGTATTTCATGCATCTGATCAATTTTCCTATTCACTCTCCACTTTTTTCAGCGCCGTTTTCTTTTATTAAAAAACAGTGTAATCGTTATTTAATGTTTGAGTAGCTCTGTCGCACTCAGAGTTGGTCTGGTGCCGAGTAATACAATACCCAGTACCCTGTATATACCACGATCAGGTCAATATGAAACGACGGGAATGCTATTTTATACATACTGTGTCTGCCCTCTAATTCTGACACCCGTGTGTGGATATTTAAACAATGGGGCATAAACCTAGCTAAATTAAAGTTACTGTTTTCTTAATGCGCGACAAAATCAATGGATGTATAAGCCGCTTAAACCACTAAATTACTAAGACCTTTAGAAAAACTTGCGTTATTGAACTGGCAACCCGGTAGATGAATTGATAGGTCTGGACGGTTCAACGTTTCATTGAACAGTTTCTTAATTGGTGCGACTTGGATACGTCTATAAAAGAACTTTTATGTTTGAATGTGGTCTAAAACTTAATCTTCTGCAATGACAGAATTTTCTTGATTAGTTTAAGATACAATTTTTGTGAACTTGAAAAAAAAAACATGTCTGATTCTGGGAGTGTCAGAAGCCGGAGAGAAATTGTGTTTTCGTACTCCCAAGGAAAAATTTTAAAGTCTAGGGACACGGTGAACAGAGTCCAGAGACGCAAACCTGTCGACAGCGAGCAGAGAGTAGTCGTAAAACGTCAGCTTTATCAACCGTCATACAGAACCAAGTATTCCTCCGAGGCGGAAGTATCTAGGGAGAGAAGAGTGATAAGGTCAATATCAAACCCGACATATACGTCACGTCCGGTGCGATATGTGATTCGCCGACCTGCGCAGTCTCTGTCAAGCTCCTATTCATCAGAAACAGGAACTTCTAGTTTCACACGCAGTGAGTCGCCCAGCAGCTACACGGATACTTCGGAAACGTGCAGCACGTGCTCCATAACAGACAGTGTATCATCACGTGACCAGCTAAGATCCCCAACGATTCGGCGACGCATCATAAGACGTGGTCAATCCTCTGATTCTATTGAAGGATATGAAGCCAGGCAGTTCCGTTCTAGAGAACCAGGGTCCTGGAGAATTATCCGAAGACCTCCTGAAACTAAACACGAGGAAGTCAGGGCGCATACTGCTGAACCAGAATATGTAACAGTAAGAAGAGTAGTTGAACCAGGATATGCCGAAGTTAGAAAAGTGAGAGAAGTTGTTCGCCGGGCTCCAGTACAAGAAAGTACTGTAAGTGATGATTCGGTTTCAACGGATACCAGGTCAGATAAAGTAGTCATCGAACAAGGATTTCAAAACCGCATGCGTGAATATCAGTCTCAGCGTTCCCGGGATGTCGCTACACAAATGATCACTCACTTCGTGCCACCCCCAGAGGAACCAAAGGAGGAAATATTTACCAATGATGCTGTTACACAAACGGTTCCAGAACCCGGTCGTCCACCAAAGCTCCCAAAAGACAGGTACAAAACTGCGGTCATCCAAGCGGAACCGCCACCAAGACAACCCAACACCGACGATGAGATCGAAGTGGTGGTGAAGCAAGATCCGCCCCCGATGCTTACACAGGAAGTGGAAAGAAAACCGGAACCGCCCCTGGTTCAAGAGATAGACCTCCGACCGCCACCCCCGGTATTGGTTCCGCCCCAGAGTTTTGGTCCAAAACGGAAGTACATCCGTTCCCCTCCGGTACGTTTACTTTTTATGGTAATTTTAATTTCTCTCCTATCACATGTATTTCTAAGTGAAACATAATTACATTACATTGCATTTTTTAAAAAAAATCTAGATAATTTTACTGAAAAAGAGAAGAGATTTGGATATTAATTTGTCAAGAGAGTAAATATTGAATGCACATGTACATGTGAAATGTACTAGTATCTCTTTAAAGATATATATTCACTTGTAAATCTAAATGATCCATTAGATGAATAAATGGAATAATGAATTAGGCTAATCTGGACAAAGTATAATGACATAGGAATTTACAAGGACTCATAATTTTTTTAAGACTTTGAAATCTATACAAGAGATGGTGATTGGGATCGAACATCGAATTAATTGAATAATGTGAATTCTATAGAACTAATCTTATCGCTGAAGGATATTTAAATCTCTACAAACATCCTTTATAAAAAGCCACACGCATCAGAGAATTTCATTATTCAGAATTTATAATACACTGCTAATGTGATGGGTAAATATTACACTCAGGAATTTTAATTGTAATTTGTGAATTTAAATATTTCAATAAGTAAAAAAAATGACAATCATTCAATACATTGATCATTTCATAAGGTAATCTGATAAACATGTATTGAGAAGTTAATTCACACTTTTGTCTTCTGTTAGAAAAATATAATTATTGTACCGCAGACTTATGGCAATTCTGTACTATAGTCTTATAATGGAACAATGTCCAAAGCTCTTAGAAAAAATCAATCTTTTAAAAGCATTTTTATTTCATAATGTATGCATTGAATTTGAAAAAAGGCTAATTAATTTTTTACTGTGCAGCGTTAAATCAAAAGACATTATCTCGTAGATCTGTATAGCTTTAGATCGGCTCTTGTGTCATTTCCTTACATGGATATTATATGTTCTTGCTAGAAATAGACACAAAATATGTTAATTACGTTAAAGAAAATAATATAAAAGTGATACAGGACTGGAAACCATTAAAAATTCAATGTGTTATCAAAGTTCAAAACAAGTGTCCTCTTGAAAACATTTCATTTAATACCTTGGTCAATAAAAACATCTTTATAAGGGCATAAGGCATAATATAGACTTGGGAGTCTACATGTAACAACTGAGTTTTGGGGAAAAAATATTTTGTACCCTCAAATTTGAATCTCTCTCTCTCTCTCTCTCTCTCTCTCTCTCTCTCTCTCTCTCTCTCTCTCTAGGTGTATATATCAAGCATTGCATCTTTTGCTAGTTCAGATATCGATTTGTTTCTGTGCATTATGTTAAACAAATTGCCCTATAGAAGAGTTGACACGGTATACAATAAACTCCTATCTAAGATTGTATCAAAATCTGTCTACACCTCATAGAGTGGGATACGATGTTCAATATATATAGGTGTTAAATCGTCACATTATTTCCATTTTAAACGCCTCAGCTAGAGGGTTGAATGGCTCTTATGTGTTGGGAATATCTGTGTCGCAAATAAAAAATCTTCACAGGGAATATCGACATGTTTATAACTTCCGTGCTGAACTACCCTAGCAACAATAAGACATCCGCATCATGCCTGGATTCTATAGTTGAAAATGTTGTGTAACAATCACAACAATGAAAAACGTCATCTCCAAGACATTTTCAAAGTATTTTGTCGGTCTGGAGTCAAGGAACTGTGTTTCTAAAAGGATATTTAAAAGTGATAAAATCAAAAAGATATAACTGGTGACACAGACACTGGAATTTCATTAAAATACACGATTCTGAAACAAATGGTACTAAAAGATAAAATGTGAAATACTTGACTTTAACTCGGTATCATGTCGACGGAGGAAGAGAGGTACTTTTCTGGGGAATCCTATGGAGATTCCGTGGGGGAGCGGATCCAGAGACGAGCCTACAGGGAACAGTATGGATCCGCGGGACCGGGGTCACGTGACGTAGGGGTACAGATGAAAACTCACTACATCCTCGAGCCAAATCGATACTTCTCAAAAGTTCGAGATGTCGGAACACAGACAAGAGAGAATGTTAATAAAGTTATTTATAACCCTCGGATTCTGTCGAGTTCTTATACAGAAAAGGTAAGGCAGAAACGGTCGGAGAAGGACTTCTCGTTTGTTTACAATCACCAGAAGCATGAATTGTTTCGAATACGAAAGAGAAAGACATCGGATCTTGATAATAAATCAGAGACTAGTACCTCCGACAGGTATTCTACAGCATCCTCTTACGAGTCCACTGAAACTTATGGCGATGACTCGGAGAGATTCTCGTTTGATATTGAAGAGTACTATGATGAATCTAGAGAAACTCGAACGGTGGCTGTACAAATGAGTACGAAGTATCTAGTTCAGGAATCACGGCCGAAAGCCATTGTCAGGGATGTAGCAATTCAAACCAAACTTCCGCCGCTGTATGCGCCCTCTGGGAGTGAAATGATAGAACGTCTCTGGAATAGCAGACTGCCATTGTCCAAAAATGTCACGTGCTCTCTTCCGCCATATTTGGGTCAGGAAAATGAAATTTCAGGGTCAACAAGCTACAGGTCTCTAAAACGGATGGAGAAGGTCGTCCCCGAATTCAATCGAATCCAAAAAGTAAATGAAAGACTTCGCCAAAAAGACAATGCTAAATATTATGATACTGCTTCTGATGGAAATGTTCTTTACTGGTTCAACAACAGAGAGGGGAAAACATCTAGCAAAGACTGGAATAAACAAAGGGATTCAGGAGATAAGGAATTAAAACGCAAGAAACTCCAAAACGAAAGAGAAAAATCAAAAGGAAGTTATGGAGGAAGATGTAAGAGCTATTCTTCCCGAAGCATGTCTAGTAGATCATCAGATTGCCGAAATCAGAAAGAGGAAAACAACAGAAATAGAGAAGAAACTTTCGAACTCGCATCTTTCGAATATCTAGGAGGAGAGCAATCGTCATTTCGCGTAAAAAGTGAAATGTCTTCAATAGGTATTCAGACTGAAAGAGAAGATAAAAGTTCCAAGTTGTTCCGAAAACCAAAAACCAAACCTGAGAGTGAATGGACTTCGGACCTTCAACCAGCAACAAATGACACGCGCAAGCTTTGCTCCAGGAACAGCGAGACAAGTCTAGAGATTTTGTACCCTTCACCTTGTCTTACAAAAGAAAAAGAATATGTTTATGCAAGAAAACGCAATCCAGCGCCACTGGAAATTATTAAAAGCAGTAATTTTCCTTATAAACCGGAAGATGAAGTTATATACACAGAATCTAAATCCCAGACGGAAAATTCCCCGAGAAACACGAGGACGAGAGAGGATTCCGTACACTGTTTAGAAATCGGCTCCGAGCCCGACGTTATTCCAGCCGAGTTTGTTGAGAAACCCGTAATAAAACCACGTGTTCGTAAACCAAAGGTACAGCACAGATGCACTTGAAGTAAACGATTTTGAATGTAGGGTCTCTAAACTTTTAATATAGATCATACTATAGGGACAAAATGTTTTATCGTATATAAGAACCCCTCCCCTTTAGTTCACAATCAACTTTTAAAAGAACTTATCTAGGGGTATATACCTTTGTAAACATCATTTTGCCGTTAACAAACTGAACTAAGGAATGTCCATGTACAAAATATTATGGTATGCAATGTCGATACGTATATACAACGGAAGGTAACTCTACAGGCCTTCTTGATCGGTTTGACTTTATAAGGTGTCATTTTAAAAAAAAAAAAACTTGTTTATGTTGAGATCCTTCAAAAGATACGGGATAAAAAATGCCATACATCCTGATATATATCTTGTAAATTAAATTATACATGTAAGATTTCATTTTATTATTTCTATTTACTATTTAATTTTTATATCTTAGACAATTTTATAATATGTTTTTTTTCTACTTTTAGCCACCTCCGCCTCCGGACGTCGTAATCCGCGTGGGTGGAGGGTGGATGAAGGAAGAGCATCACCGGATACAGCACCGCCCCCTACACCGGAAGTTCCAACCCACAGCGGACCGGATCCCGTTTGTTCGATCACAATTCCATTACAGTGCCTCTAAAACTCCGGTAGTGAACAGAGAACGGAAGCAAACGGACAAAATCCGATATGCTTCTTTTATCCCTTGAAATAAACATTGAACTTATTCTACTGAACTGAATCTAATTTATAGAAAGAAATACTTTTGTGTGTTATCATAGTCAAAAGATATACTGTAGTTTACATTAGTAGTACCTGTGGTATCTGCATTTATAGCTGTTTTGAGCTGACTTTTCTGATTGAATTCATAAAATTCATTATTATTGCATATTATACATATATAAAAGAATCTATATCTATATATCTATTATTTATCATCATTTTTTTTAATCTTCAGAATTGTTTTAATTAATTGATTTTTTTCAAAGAGATTATTTATTGAATGGAACATTTAAAACGTTTTCTCCTAGTGTTTTCCCCTATCTTTAGGAATAATTTCTTCAAGAATTAGAATGCTTATATATTCTTTGCAAAGTTGACAAAAAATATTAATTGCATCGGTGGGATTTTAAAAAAATTATTTGATATTTAATCACATAATGCATAATTTAGATGACCTCATAAATTGGTATGGGATTTTAATATTCAATTATACACTGTAATTCATTAATCTATATTCAGATTCAGTATTTATAGTTAAAAGTTATGATATTTATGATATACCTGGTGTTTTTTTTTTATACTATATGACTATTTTTTTTTTTTACTATTTTCTACAGCACTAAATACCAAGCCAATGCGCAATGTGTCCTTCGAAAGAGTTTAAGGGTACTTACCACAAACAAAAAATGGATGCGCGGGTTTATATATTTTTTTTGACTGATTTTGATTTGTAATGACATAAATAATAAATCCCTGAAATATAAATAAATCGTAGGTTTTTTCTTTGGTGCTTAAATTTTAGATTTTTTTTTTTTTTTTTTTTTATTTATACAAAATTTTATTCACATAAGTGAATGGGATTGGGCAGCAGGCAAAGCCTATTTTAGCCCTCTCCCTACAAGGTCAAAATGAACACACAATATATAGATATAAAAATAAATAGACACATAGTAGCAAAAACAAAAGAACAAAAACAAAAGAGAAAAAAAAAAGTAGAAAGAGAGAGAGAAAAAAAAATTTACAATGAAATACATGTACCGGTTATAAAGTGTTGGCATGAGTAACATACATTACAATTCAAATAAAACGTGTGGTTGCTGCGATGAAAGCATGTACTGCTTCAAATATTTGAGTATTAATATTTATATATACTTTGCAAAGTTCATGAGTTTGATCACAATCAAAATATTTTGAATTGTTTGGAAAAGTACATTTCTTGGAGAGTTATATTTTGGACAAGCAAAAAAATAATGATGAGCATCTTCAATAGAAATTATTCACACATTGATGTTTCTGATAAAAATTGGTTATATAAGTCTGCCTTTAAATTACTTGCATTATTTCGCAATTGGCAATTTATTATATTGTTTTTTATTCCAAAATGATAAATTTCTTTACCTTTTTTTATAAGAATTTAAAAGACTTTTAAATGAAGATATTCCAGGGGCATTTTGATATAATCAGGCAAATCATTCCATAATTTAATAGTTGATGGGAAGAAACTTTCCATATATGATGTAGTTCTAATAGAAGGAATTTTGAATTCTGCATCATTATTTCTTAGATTATAGGGGTGGTTTGTATGACGATTTTATTTTGCCTTCTATATAATTCCATACAAAATATTGCACATTTTTTTAACTTTATGACAAAATCTTATAAAATTCTCCCACTCTACTTGGTAAACATAATTCAGGTTGTCAATTTAAATGTAAATCGATGAGAAATAATGCTGATTTCTGAAAAAAAGTTTGTTTGTGTTATTTATCCTTAATTGTAATGAATGAAAAGAAAAAAAAACATGAAAGTTTAATACATTTTATTATAATTATTTTTTTTTATTATAGCAATATCCTTTAAACAAAAGATTTAATGAAATAGGAATTTTGTTGCTTATTTGTATTACTTCGAATTAATTTCACTGTTTGGGATAATGTTTTCTTAAATTCCAATGTATTCGATTTTTAACAATTTAAGACTTCTTAAGTTTAATTGCAGAAACATGGGGACAGATCTAGACTAATTGCTGATGTTTTTTTTAAATAGAGTCTAATTATGCTAAAGCGTTGACATTTTGAAGTGCCTGATAGATTACAATCATATTCATTTAAAAAATTATTTTGAATTATATAACCATAAATTAAGGTGGTTTAAATGCCATTGATATTAAGAAATTGAATATCGACAGTTACTTAATTGAATTTATGAATTTTTTAATAAAGAAATCAGTAAAGTATCTGCCTCTTTTTGTCTTTTGATTCATATGTTCGAACTGAAAAAATAACAGGTTTCAATAATTGATATTTTGTTTTTCACATTAAATGACTGCATGGAATAATCAAAATTCTGCAATACTGCCATGTACATACTTTTTTCCATCAATGCAAAATTTGGAAGAAAAAAAACCAAGTATTATTTTAAAAGTATAGGTAGAATCAATCTCTTTTATTCAACTGAAAACGGACTTATGTTATTCATTGTAAACAAAGTTAAAACTTAAATTCAAAAAGAAAATTCTTGCATTATAAATTAAGAAATTAGTCCAATATGTGTGTTAATGCTTCTGTAATAAATAAACATCTTTAATTTTATTTCATTCATATTTAATTTTTCACAGATTATTTATTAGATCCTGGGATGAATAAAAATCAAGCATGCATAAAATACCGTATATGTGGTAAATGTACGGTTTAAAATATGGGCATTTATAATGTCACTCAGGTGTAAATTACAGGTGTATGTTTCATTCATCTCTAGCATCGATCACAGCATGTCACGTGTCACCAGCCGCTTCACGTTACTACGACAACATCAATATCAAAAATGGCGACCATAATTTCGATTTAAAATGTCTGCAATTAAAAAGTACACTAATACTTCAAACATTTGTACGGATTTTGAAATAGAAAACGTGTGTATTCAGCATTTCCAGTGTTAAATCTTTCAAAACTGGTTTTTCACCTTCCGAAGGATTAATTAATATTTTTGGATTTAAAGCTCGGGAATATTTACCTGCCTTTATTATAAGTATAAAGTGTAGGTGACTATAGAAGGGTTTCCCGTCACAGAAATTTAAACGGCAAACAAAATTATTCCAACACAAAGCCGAGAGGTAAACAAAAAAATCCATCGTCATGGGTGATTCGCAATCACAATAAAAATGGCGAAAGCGAAGCCGGTGTCTTGTCATGTCGCATTGGAGTAGATTGATATCTGGATTCTTAATATTGTGTGTGTTGCTTTGATTTATGAATTATTTTGTGTTGACTTTGTCATAAGTGTACAGGAATAAAATAAAAATGCCTGAGCAACGGGTTTACGTTTCCCGTCCGGTCATGAAAAGAACTCTTCCTCGAACACCCAGTGACACGGAGACAGAAACCGATTCGGAGTCAGTGACGTCATATTGCAGCACGTGTACACAGACGACAGCAAGTACTAACATTATTGATGAACGAAATAGAGTCATTCGAAGGAAAGTTGTGAGAAATCCCCAGGTTTTACGTGCAATTATTGAACGACCCCCCAGAGACAAAATCACTCGTAAAGAATATGTGAAACCCATAGAAAACTCAATGGAAACAAAACAATACCTCCTTAAGAAACATTTAACGGATTCAGCTAAATATCAGGGTAAAGGAGTTGAATCCTCGAATTATGAGAATGTAAATCTCGTAAGAAAGCCGGGACGGAGACCTGGATCGGCCTCCTCCGTCCGTGCCGTAAGGACAATCCGGACTGTGGCGAGTTCACCCGACGAACCTGTCCGGAGAAGGATCATTCTTCGTGAAGCGGAAGGTGTTCATAAGACTTACGATGATGGACATGTTATGCAGCGTGTGATACGCCGCGTCGAACGAGAAGAGCCCAAGAGGGTTGTAGTTGTAAGACGCCCTGTGACGTCAGAGCGCGAGGGTAGGGTGGTCCGTCGAATAATCACCAGAAGCCGACCCAGTTCGTATAATGGTCGAGATGGGGGCGAACCGATCATCATTCGCCGTGAGAGACCAAGTTCTTATCACGCTGGTATGGCGGATGAATATGAACCTGTTCAAGCAGACGAAACATCCGAAACAACCGAAGACGAAAGAGAGCAGGTTGTCCGCGAATACCGCCTGCAGAACAACGAAACTCGAGCGGTCAAGCAACTGGAAGGAGATCGGTGGGTGGACGAGTATGATGTTCCTGACGTGGAAAAACGAAATGTCGGCGTACAGATGACGACAAACTACGTCGTACCGAAACCTCCGGAAAAAGAGAGTCGCACCATCGGTACTCAGACAAAAATTAAAAAGGAAAAACCACCACCCCGTGAGCCCACACCCCCTCCCCGCATTCCCACACCCCCTCCCCGCATTCCCACCCCACCTCCACCAAAACCGAAAAAGAAAAGGCAGCCCCAACCTCCACCACCGAAAATAAAAACACCGGAACCGGAACCTGTGCCTGTAAAACAGAAGCTGCCTCCTCCACTTCCGGTTATATACAAGGTAAGTGTATCTAACATTTCGTTATATAATATCAACATGCAGTGAGCCTTTGCAAGGCTTGTTTGATTGCTTTGCGAAACTTTAAACTATAGTACTTGTACAATGAATGCACTTTCATGATTGTTAGAATAGACCAAGATTCAAAATTAATCAAGAACAAGAACAGTATCTTTACAGAAAAGGTGCATTTAGATATAATCATTGACATTCTGAACGTTGTAATGACCTGTAGAAAAACTTTTTTACAGAAGAAATCTCGACACCAGTACGTCCGTGTCGGAGGTGGCTGGATGAAGATCGACCATTACAGGAACCATCACGTCCCACTGAGGATATACGAACACAAGAGAGAAGCCGCAAATAACAAGTTTCTGTCTGTAAAATACCGCTACACCAAGGATAAAAAGAAGACACCCGTAGCTTGGGCAAAATATAGAGGAAGAGTGGCAAGCGAATCCTGAGCTAGGATCGCACATTGCCCTCGAACTTAGCGCTCGGGCTAATTGCATAATTCGGTGTGCCTTTCATGGGCCAAGTAGGATTTAAGAAACCTTACTAGTAGAACTGATCTAACTTAATGACTTGACTGAAATAGATACAAATGTACTAGTGGATTTTGCATTTTGGAAATGCTGCATTTACTCCCTTAGTTGACGTTCGCAAGAAGACAGCAACAACTTCATTCAATTTGTAGGATTCCTAATGGGTTTTTTTTAGATTTCTATGTGGAAACATCGAACATTATATCTTTTTTTCAATCTAGGAAAAAAAAAATTTCATTCCCCCTCGTAGTCCTATAGTATTGTTAATGAATCTATTGCAGTACGAAAATGAAAATATACGAACTTTGATTTAACTCGCATTCAATAGCAACGAAGTGCAAGTATATATATTCGAGATATCGGGGTAGTTCATTTTTTCCCCTGACTTTTCAGAACAGATTCAGAACCCCATACAAAAGTCATATATCTCAGTTTTACCACTTTGTTACTTGCTGAATATTAGTATTGCGCTGACGACAATCATTTTTCTTCTCCAAAGACGGTTACATGGCAGGCATCTGAGACCACGGTGTTGTTTTGTTATTCTTTGGACCGTGTTGTTCTGTTATTTATCGTTACCAATATGTATTATAGTAGTGTGTACTAAGGAAAGACTGTTTTTAAAAACTACAAACTGTTTAACCTAACATAATTATTAGATTAAAGATCTAGATATGCAAGTTTAGAAATCACTGTATTTGAATTTGTTTAAGTGAACATTGCTGATTTTCCCTCACAATTACTCGTGCTTTGAACTGGCACCTTGGCTTGCTCAATAGATAATGGATAAATATATGTATATATTATAGTATACAAATGTACATGACTTTAATTTTCGTCGAGTCGTCTGTATTAGTTAAACTAGTATAGTAATATACTTCTAGTCAAACTTAGTCGTTTATTTTACCTGTTGACAGGCATTTATATATAGATTTTGTATGCAATCCAAGTTTTTCTTACACTTGCATGTATCATGAATGTACAATTGTACTTGATATTTTTAACTGTTCATTTTTTCTGAATAATATATATTTTTAATTTTCACCAGCGTTTACATTTTTTCTATCAATAAGCAAACACGTGTTTCATACATGTATATATTTATGACAACACAATGCAATGCATATGGAAATTTAATGTACATGTGTATGTGCGTTTATAAATGTACATGCATGCATATATTTCGCTTCACTTTGCAGTGTGTTACCGGGTATAATTTTATTCTTTAATTCACACATTAATTTTGACCTCGGTATAACCTGCCAAATGATTACATTCTTGCTGGATCAAGCTGAATCTTGAGCAAACACAAGATTTATTTGTAAGTGTTAACAATTGCTGCAGAATTAATTTCAAGTTAAAATTCCTTCAAGGTTAAATACCCGTACAAACAATGGATTCCTGCTGTGATAATTTCTCAAGAGGGCATTGAAAATGAATGCCTTCTGGTTTTGTCAATAGCTTCATTGAAATGCATGCAATATAACAGTAACAAAAAATACGCATATCGTTGTTCTCATGCAATTGTTCAATTTTGAATTTTCATTATAACCAAACTTTTACAAGGAGAGGAAACCAGGCCCCTATATACCATAACTTGTGTCTAAACTTGGGCGAATTTTCAACCAAATGAATCTCTTAATTCCGCAGGCACCTGACGTTACTTATTTTTCTTTTGATAAAATAGGTTTATTATCAGGTACGGGTATATTTTTTTTTAAGAAAAATAGGTAACGTCAGGTGCCTGTGCTTCTTTCAATGGTTTTACACCGGTATTTGATTTTCGGGAAAATGCAACCACAATATATTAGAACCCACTACAATGACAACAGTTCGACCATTAATAAAATTTTCTGAATGACAGGGAATATCCAGCCCCATGCACCTCCGAACACCTTTACCTGAAACCCTAGGCGTGTTCTCAGGCCGGAGGGGTGGGGTGGGGGGGGGGGCACTACCTTTGAGTAATTTCGTTTATACACGTATACCCCCCCCCCCCCCCCCCAAATTCCAGCGATAAATTATATTTACACAAGGAAAACAAATGTTACAATTTACTGTACATGATGTAGATTGACATCGGGTGATAATCTTTTGCTTGTCAAAAATACAATGTATTTAAAAACTTTGAAATTGTTTCCAACGCGTGGCTGTCTAGGTTTCAATGACATGCATTGGTAAAATACAAGTCCTCAAGCAGCCATTAAAATTTTCTTTCTAATTAAAAACTATACATGTATGTAAATGAAGTCTTATAAATTACACTTTTATTAAACTGTTTCCAATATCCAGAGAAGAAGATATTTAAAAAAAACTTTATTTATAATCTGATAATTCCGTTTATAGAAAATTAAAACTGAACCCCGCGGCTTTCCACCGCCTTAAGAAAATCAGACTACTCTCTGCAAATTGACTAGATTGCAACTTCTCTAATACTGGAGAGTTCCTAAAACTTGTCCCTGGTTTATAGTTTGTGATCTAAAAAAAGTTTGAAATTCATATGAAGAAAAAATCTGTAACATATTTTGTGCTTTAAGCCCAAGGTGAAATAATAGTAGTCGTCGCGCTATTCAAAGCTGCGATTACCCTCGCACTTCATTTTGGAAATGTCTGGTTTTACGTGAACATGTATCTATATTGCCTTGGCTAGTAAAGATCAAGATATCAGTTCATAATGTGAAACAGTCAGGTTGTCTCCTTCAATGAATAAAGATGTACTGTCTACGAAGACATTTATGGCAAGTTCACACAGTAACCTGGCTATTGTCTCCATATAAGGTAAAAAGAAGTACACTATTTTCCTCTTGATGTCTCGATGAACCTGAGACCTTCTGGATATAATAAGAGCGCAATAAAATCTTGTATATACAAATAAATTCATTAACATGAAATCCACAGGTGGTTGTTTGATACAGTACACTAGTTTATTATAGGCCAACATGTACAATGACACAAACGCGACATTGTTTAGTAATAAACTACATGTACTTGATGTAGCCTAAAATATCATAAGTATGAAACAATTAAGCACTTGTTTGTTTATTTTAATCGAAACACACGGGACAAATGTAAAGATATTAGACAAATTACAGACATTGAAAATTGGGGCTTTTTTTGGTTTAGCCCTTCCCCATTTTATTTACTTCTTCTGCCTAAGCCGGTAACCCACCATCCACCCTTTCTTTTACATTGATAAAAGTTCGTATCTAAACATAACAAGTGATTTCAAATTTTCAATGTTTTATATATTCTATAATCTTGATTAAATATCAACAATACACATATTACACAATCTGTAGCACTGATAAGTACACCTGTACTTAGGACTGGAATGATCACAGTAACTTTGACACGACTATAAGACTACTTCTGTTTACATAGTAAAAACACAGTCAAAGGGAAATAACTCGTACAATCAATATCATGTCATGGATTTCAACCTTGCAGGAAATAGTACTGACAGAGACATCATAAAGATAAATATTTCCAACATATATGCCTTAGTTTGTTCATTATACAAGATCTACACATACTAGTAAACAAATGAATTACAAATACATGTACATCATTTTGCTATTAAATGCAATGTTTTTGGAAATTTGTTTTTTAAAATTCAGACATCATGTTAATATCCTAAATCATTTGAAGATTACACATTACTATATGTTATGTGTGCAAACCTTTGCACATGAAGTTAAACAAAACTATAAAGTATCAACCATGAAGTTCCCACTGACTAGACTTGCGTATTGATCCAGTTTTGATATACATATGAGATGACCTAGGTACAGTATATAATGACTATAAACAACTGCTGGGTTTAATCCATGAACTTCCTGTTGGGATTAGCTCCATACAAAATCGTTCTCAACTCTGGAATCATCTGCAATAAAAGAGTGAAATCTTTCTTCAATATGGAAAGCTAAACTTATTCCAATGAGCCATACTATTGTAAATGCAAATCTTTGCAGTTGTACTATACTATGGACCACTTATTAATATATACTGTAAATCACGTTTTATTCGCGAGAACTTTATTTTCGCGCAATTACGCGAGACAGTGTGCTCGCGAAAATTTAATTCTCGCGTATAATAGTATTCCTTAAGATTATATAAAGCAATAACCACAATTCGTGAAAATTTTGTCTCGCCAATCAAGAGTCAATTACTATCTCGCGAAAATAAGGTGTCGCGAAAATTTAGTGATCTACAGTACATGTATGATGTACATTTGCTTGTCTATTCATTAAAGACATGACACGTTTCTTTGCAAGAAATAAAATTGTATATGTATGTACCTTGTTTCATACAATAATGAATGAAAGCATTTTCCATCTTCATGCACCTTGATGATTGACTGCTGAAAACTTTACTTTTTACAAAGGGAAAAAATTGTGATTCATGAGTTCTCAACAATAAAATCAGATTATTGGGCCACTCTTTGTTACCTATTAACTCAGAAGTCTCAAACACTATATATAGAGCATATCCCACAGATTTTTTTTCCTTATCAGATTTTAAGGGGGGATATCATGCTTTAATGATCTGATTGCATAAACAGAAAATTATTTTCACTTGAGAATTGAGAGTTTCCTCCCTTATCACATTACGGCAAGGTACAGTAGATGAATTTGCTGTGTTGCTGACTTGAATATTTGCATATTCTCTACAATGAGACTGTATATAATGTCCTTTGTTGCAGTAAATGCTAGCTGGCAAGAAATATATCCCTTACTTCTCATAAGCCCTGATCATGAGCTCGGAGCATAGGACAATATTTGCAGCTCTCCACCGGCAAGTATTGACTACTCTACATGTATATGAGTAAAATATCCTCGAGAGGGACACAAAACAACAAGCAAAGAAGTAAAACTTCCAATAGTTGAATTAACTTAGGGATTTTTCATCAAAATGGGTAAACTTGCGATAATAAATGTGTACCTGTTGACTCATAAGGGCAAGCCGACTCTCCAGCATGTTTTCTACTCGGATTTTCCCACTCTGGGCTAAAAGTTCAACCCCTCCTGACCTGTGGATATACAAAATGAGCTACAGATCACAAGCAAAAAATGACATCAATATACAGTTAAACTTTGGTATCTCCCACTCTAATATGTCAAATACCCTCTGGATGTGTCGAAGTGATGTGGAAGCTTTAACCACAAATTCTTTTAAGTATTTTACCCTCGATAACTCCAATCCTCGGATATCACAGTCTTTTCTCAGTCCCATCAGGTTAGTTTGTCTTTTTTTAAAATTTTTTTTTATTGGTTTCAAGATAACATTTTTCAAGTAATTTTGCTGAGCTGATAGAGTATATGAAAACAAGCAACATTTACAATGATGTTTTAAATGTTCAAAATCAAAATTATCTGGTAAAATTTTACTATATTAATAATTTTGCTTGTCAGACTGAAAGACAATAATTAGCAAAACTGTAGGTCAAGAGATTGAAATTAATTCTTTCTTTCTTTTTAAATTTACATACACAATGAAAGATTTAATTTTTCAAAGCATTTAAAGGGCAACAACTCTTAAATACGATGTAGTAAAAATCACTTGTATTTAAAAAAATTAAATTCAATACTGAGAACTTTAGAGTTTATATTATAATTACAGTGATTGGGATAGGCTAGGGAGTAAATGTGACAATGGCACACCCCAAGTCAGTGTCAATGTGACATTTCAAAATTCAATGCGCCAAACAGACTTTTTAATGGGACATTTCCTAGTTACAAACTTGCAATTAATTACTTGCTGTTTGAATTTCAGTTGACTTTACTTAATTGAAATTGTCAAATTATTGAATGACGACATTAAAAGATACAAAATTAGTATATTTGTATTCACAAGTGTCAGAAAATAAATAAACACTGCAATTTAATTTCAATTCTTTATTTTTTGTGTCCGATGTTTGACATCTTTAAAATGATTTAAAGCCTGGTTTAGATCTATACTGCTTCCCTCCAATTTATATTCAATTTTCGTTTTGGTTTTTCCTCCGAGACTACATCATCAGTCTTACCGTCAGATTTATCTCCATTCGTTCTGTCAGCATGTTATACTTCTTCCGAGTCATTTTGTAGCGATTTACTTAAATTTGTTTGTTAGGATTGTGAAAATTAAGAAAAGTCTGTCCTTTATCGGTACGAGGTATTTTCTTAGGCAGCATGCTGCACTCCTGACACCAGTTTATTTCGTGCCCGTTAGCCAATCAGAAAACACGTAACTGTTTGATTAGATACTGGAGAAAAGAAAGTCATACGAACGCTTTAACTGAACGATATAAAACACTGTTTTTATTTCAAGCGTAAATTGACAGCGATTGTTATGGGAAAGACTACAAGCGCTTGGGGGAAAGCTCAAAGTTTAAAAGTATGCAGTGCATTATATGCGCCACAATGGCGCAGCGTTTTTAATTTTAATGTGACATTTTAAAATTTAATGCGACTATGGCGCAGGGCGCGTGCTTATCCCAATCACTGTAATTAGCAAGATTTCTTAATATGAATATTACATATTAGATCTGACAAGTTATACTGGACATGCATAATTCAAAGATTCTTTTCTCTTGTAAAATATATTTCAATTTCTACGATAAAAAGCTCAACTCTGACCACCTGAATACTCACACATCATTTCCCAGGAAGTTGTCCGTATCTATGGTGATGGAGACATCATTCCCTGTGGCTTCTTTGTACTGCCGTACAGCTGACGGAAGACTTTCCTACAGAGAAAAAAAAAACATATGTTATTAATGTTAGACATCTTCAGTGTATACATGTATTACATGTAACTGTGATTTTTGAAAGTCTTTCAGAAAAACAGAAATGATCTGTAATTCCTGTTTTCTTCACAAAAACTTTAATTTTTTTTTCTTAACTACACAAGGCCATCTGCTTGCAAAAAATTTCATTCTCATGTATATTTTTGGTTTATTGGAGAATTGCTGTGTTAACAGACTATGTCCAAAAAGCAGAATTCGTGATTTCTCTCACTTACAAATTCCAATGAATTATTACTTAAATAAATTTATACAACAAATAAATTTCCAAGAAAATTTAGTTATGTGAAAAACAGTTTATAAAAAATTTAAACAATTTTTAACAATATTATGAGAATGATCAGTCTAGTTTCAATAAATCATTAGAATAGGGAATAAAGTGCCGCGCCACAGCATGATACGCCCGTCAAAAGATTACAATTTTCTTGAACAGTTTAGATGCAAGAAAATCACATCAACCTTGATTCTAAGATTTCGATTATTTTTCCATTCCTTAAAATATTTATCCATCCCCTGTGATGTATGCATCAATTATAATAAATATTACATCACTGATAGATTTCAGTGCTGGTTGTGTTAGACCTTGTCAAATGCCCATCATCAAATTAGTCTTAACAACTGAATGTACACCAAATTAATTTTGAAAACATAGGTAATCAGAGATTACAGAGCTCACCTCAACGAATGTTGTCTTTAAATAAGGCAAAGTCACACAATTAACCAACAAAAAATGTACATTCCAAAAATGAAAATATCTAAGCAATTTTGATCTGATACTTTGAAGTAGACCAACATAAAAAATTTAAAGTAGTTCTTCTTCATGAAAATGTAATTCAGCATCTAAAGCAAATTTGAGTTTTCATCTCTTGATGCAACATTTGTGCAAGTTTGGTTTATACGATGTTATAAAAGCCTTAAAGTTTTTTGGTAATAGACCTGCAACCATAACTTTAACCTGGTCTATTATCTGAAAAATATATATGTCGAATTCAGCATCCGAAGCAAGTCCATTAGTGTGCATCCTAAGATGTATCGTCCATGCAAGTTTGCACATTATAAGGCTCATAGTTAATTGGAAATGAAACATACATCAAAAACTAACATTTTCACTCATCCACAAAATGTAGGTCAGATTCAGCATCCGAAGCAAGCCTGGTAGTATGCATCCTAAGATGTATCATCCATGCAAGATTGGTCATTAAAGAACTCATAGTTACTTGGAAATGAAACCTGCACCAAAAACTTTTACTTGTTCACTCAACCGGAAAATGTAGGTCAGATTCAGCATCCGAAGCAAGCCCGGTAGTGTGCATCCTTAGATTTATCATCCATGCAAGTTTGGTCAACATAGGGCTTAAAGTTACTTGCAAATGAAACCTGCTCCAAACACTTTAACCTGTTCACTCAACTGGAAAATGTAAGTCAGATTCAGCATCCGAAGCAAGCCCGGTAGTATCCATCCTTAGATGTATCATCCATGCAAGTTTGGTCAACATAGGGCTTATAGTTACTTGGAAATGAAACCTGCACAAAAACTCTAACCTGTTCACTCAACTGGAAAATGTAGGTCAGATTCAGCATCCGAAGCAAGCCTGGTAGTATCCATCCTTAGATGTATCATCCATGCAAGTTTGGTCAACATAGGACTTACAGATACTTGGAAATGAAACCTGCACCAAAAACATTAAACCTGTTCACTCAACCGGAAAATGTAGGTCAGATTCAGCATCCGAAGCAAGCCTGGTTGTATCCATCCTTAGATGTATCATCCATGCAAGTTTGGTCAACATAGGACTTACAGATACTTGGAAATGAAACCTGCACCAAAAAACTTTAACCTGTTCACTCAACCGGAAAAAGTAGGTCAGATTCAGCATCCGAAGCAAGCCCGGTAGTATGCATCCTTAGATGTATCATCCATGCAAGTTTGGTTAACATAGGGCTTATAGTTACTTGGAAATGAAACCTACACCAAAAACTGCACCAAAAATGTTAACCTGCTCCAAAAACATTAACCTGGTCATTCCTTTGCTAAAATTGCAGCATCTGAAACTTTGACTGGTACAATGAAACACACTAGAACCATCTTCCATGCATGTCTAATCAATATAGGACATAGAAGTACTTAAAAAGAAAACTGCTCCAAAAAACTTAACCTTAACCCGGGACGCCGACGCCGACGCCGACACCGACGCCGACACCGACGCCGACGCCGAGGGTATTACATAAGCTCCCCCAACTTCATTGAGGTGAGCTAAAAAAAAAGGCTGGCCATCAAATGACATATGTTATAAACTGACCAGCAGTTCTTCTGTCTAATCCCCAAAGGGTACAGATAAGACGCTAGCCTTCCTACACTGAACTCATTAATTAATCTTTAACTGGATGCTTGTCTACTCATTACTACCAAGAGATGAATGGGTCTGCACAATCTACTATATTTTTTTTCTTAAAACATATAAAATACTCAAAGATTTTTTTTTTGGTTGAGATTTAATGTCCGACAGGTTTTAATATGTAATTCATATGGACATGCTGATTTCACCCCACCCCATAAAATTAGTTTTTAAATAATGTTACATAATATCAGATTGGTCTATTATGCAGTATCAAATTTGTTTTAATTACTTTTCATCAAATTCATTTTAAAACTTAAGCTAGTCAGCAAGAGCTATTTTTAATCAAACAGGCTTACCCATTTGCCCAATACTCAAGGGACATAGATAACACCAATGCTCCTCGCACTCAAAACCCATTAATTTCTCTCTAATTTGACATGCAATTTTCTGTCATCAAAATTCTTCTTGACCAGTGCTTGATAATTACACTCATGGGAGAGGTAGGATTTCTCTAACATACATTATATTTGTTAAAGATTGCTGTCAAGTATATGCTTAAAAAAAATAAGTATTTTCTTGATTTAACACTTTTTTAATAAGGACAGTACAATACTCTTACATTATTTGGGATGTTTAAATGAATAGCAAAAAGACACTTTTTTTAAAAAAAAATTCACTTAAGGTAAAGATCCATACCATCCTATAGAAATAACGGAACTACAGATTTTGTTGAAACTTTTCAGAATCTTAACTGAGTATTTGTCCTTTCCAGATCAGTGTAAATTTTGGGGTCAACCGGGCCTCCTTTTGAAAGGATTGTTACTAAAAATAGACATTGTCTCGTGAAATGACGGAAATGCGGAAATTAAGATATTTATTCTAGCTTTCTAAAATTAAAAGCAAAAGAATTTTTTTAACATATGAATCATAGAGAAAATATGCTTGTTTGAATGTTTAATTATTTTTTTAATCTGCTGATCCACCTAATATTACTTTCTAGGGCGAATTAAACATATTTAGCTCAAAATTATAAAGTTCATTACTAGTAAAAATAAATTGCTGCTTGATATTCTGACTACAGATTTCTTTTTAAAATTAACACATTATTTTCCAATGTTCTCTCCCTTATATGGCATAAAAATTAAGTGGGGCAGCGGGCATCAAACAAGAAAATTTCACATTTTTAAACCAAATTTGCTGAAAAATGATAATTTGAAAAATCTTTTTAACATCTATACTTTTAGGATTTGGGTGTAAAAATCGCTTTAAATATTTGAAACTATCGATAATAGAACAGTAATAAGTATGGTTTAAATCATAAGTTGAATATTTAATGCATAGACGGCCAAAAATTCGTTTTCACGATTCACAAGCATAATAGTAATCGGGTTCAATCTTCGGAATATTCTATAAACCGTTAATGCGCATGTGTGACGTTGTGACGGAAGTGAAAGAAGAAAATACTTTCAATTTCAACATGGGTAGCAATCGGCAATCCTCGGCTGACTCCGCTACGCTCCATTCAAACCTCGGATGTGATTGGTGGAGGAATACGCAACAGATCCTTACATTTCTCCGCCGGAAACTGCCTTATCACTCATTTCGTATTTCGCTCTGCATAACGTTCTTCGAAAATGTTTATTAATTTGTCCAATTCTTTATCGTAAACAGGTTTAGATTACATCCTCATGTTAATAGGCTTTGAAAGCAAGAAAAAACTGTTGAGCGTACCACAAAATAACTCCGATTTCAAATGTATGACATTTGAAAGAAATTCAAATAAGATCACATGACTAAATCAGCAAGATGGTAGATCACCGTTGACGTCCGAGGTTATGTGCGAGGTACGAGTCATCCGAGGAAATCCGAGTGCATGGGTAGTTTGGATGCGATTTAGTTGATTAAAAATTTAGAGAAGTGGCACGTTTTACTACTTTTTGTGTCTATGTAATACATTTCTCGCTATTCTTAGATACAAATAAGTGGTTTGTTTGCCACATCTTTTTAACGTCTGGTTTCTGATCTCAGGAAATGCTCGGACCTGTCCAAGTAAGGTTCAACGTTGTTTATCATGTTTTTATTCACATACCATATAAAATAGATCAAATTAATGTACGCGGAGATGAATATGTTCAGTGTTTCCACTTTGTAATGTTTGTTTGTTTAAAACACCGTGCTTACAGGCGATCATATCCTTGGAAGGCAGAGATCCCCTTCTTAAGCTAGGGACACTCTAGCACTGAATGATCCAGGTTTTCCGTACATAACTCAAATTCGTTTAATAAATTCAAGCTCCATAGTTGATGACTAGAATTGCATTGAGAGCATCATTACTAAAGCTATGTCATTTAATTGGTAAAATGTGAAGTAATTTATGTATTTTTAAAATCAATAAGGTTTTATAAATATATGAAAGAGTTCATAATTAAAAGGGTTAAGGTAAGTCACTCGTCAGCTTTTTAGAAAAGTTCACGCAGAACATCTAACTTCAAAAATATTTATTAAAATTCAATTTTAATAAAATAATTATATTCAACAATGTATATTTTTTATCAATCAAAGAAAAAACTGCTCAAAAAATCTTCAAAGAAGCAAGATTTATTA